GGGTCCTTCTTAAGAGCGATACTTCTAGGCATCTGAATACTGAAGCCGATGGATCAGTCTGACAGGCAGAAAACAAGCAGGAGGTCGGCAGAAGCAGCTTCCCTATTTCTCACAATGCAGGGAGCTATGTGGGTCAGTGATGGAAACAAACACACACAATGTGCTGCAGGAAGCCACGTCTAATGGCAGGCCAAGCTGTCTAGAACACGGTCACGGGTGGAGTCTAGAACACGGTCACGGGTGGAGGCTAGAACACGGTCACGGGTGGAGGCTAGAACACGGTCACGGGTGGAGGCTAAAGCAGCTACACAAGTTTTTTCTTAAATATTTAAACCCCATAAATGAAAGACGTCCTCTGTAACCCTCCTCCTTCCCACCAGTGTGTTAGATTGTCCCTGCAATCAAAAAAGGGAGACTTTTTTTTTTTTTAACAGAAAACAAACATATAGTAAAAGACGGCCACACAATGTAATTAAAGTGGAACTAAACCCCCCCCAATGTAATGGTTTCAACAAACAGTTACAGTCAAGGCGTGCCCTGAAATGATAAGGTTCATACTAACTGCTTATGTTGGCTCTCATCTGTTAGCCATCCAATGACTGGTGTCGTAGCAATCACATGTGCAGCACTATGACAACCGCAGATCAAACCGAGGCTAAAATGGCAGCTTCCTTGGCTGGAAAGGATAGGGGGGGGGGGTTAGTTCCACTTTAATAACTCTCTGCTAGGCTCACCTCAGTGGATGAACTGTGCCCCCGAGCGTTTTGGACTCCTCCCCTCCACAGATGATGGAGGGCTGGACTCCGGACTTTTCTTGCTTGGAAGATCTGAAGAATAGAAAAAAAATTTGAATAATCAGTACTATATCTGGTTTATATGCGATTATTGTACTGCAGAGAGCACCATACACACAGATATTTCTTAGAATGTTTATTTGGCGACAGAAGACCTGCCCCTAGTAGGATGGACACTCAATAGAAATGACACCTTACATGTGTCCAAAAATATTCACCAACATATGGTGTGTTCTCTGCGTGCCCTGCGTGCTCAGGACATGGATGTCCTGTGTGTTTGCCCTGTGTGTGCGCTGAGGATGTGCATGCCCTGTTTGTGCTCCGATTGTGTGTGCATTCCCCGTGTGCTCTGTGTGTGCTCAGGATGTGCATGCCCCGTGTGCTCTGTGTGTGTGTACTCTTGGTGCTCAGGATACGTGTGCTCTGTGGTCTCGTGTACGTAGGATGTGTGTGCTCTGTGGTCTCGTGTACGCAGGATGGTGTGCGTGCTCTGTGTACGTAGGATGTGCGTGTGCTCTGTGGTCTCTGTGTACGTAGGATGTGTGTGCTTGTGTGTGCCCTGTGGTCTCTGTGTGTGCTCTGTGGTCTCGTGTACGTAGGATGCGCGTGCTCTGTGGTCTCTGTTACGTAGGATGCGTGTGCTCTGTGGTCTCTGTGTACGTAGGATGTGTGTGCCCTGTGGTCTCGTGTACGTATGATGCGTGTGCCCTGTGGTCTCTGTGTACGTTTTGTGTGTGCTCTGTGGTCTCGTGTACTTAGGATGCGTGTGCTCTGTGGTCTCGTGTATTTAGGATGCTGTGCCCTGTGGTCTCGTGTACTTAGGATGGATGCGTGTGCTCTGTGGTCTCTGTGTACGTAGGATGTGTGCTCTGTGGTCTCTGTGTACGCAGGATGCGTGTGCTCTGTGTGTGCCCTGTGGTCTCGTGTACGTAGGATGCATGTGCTCTCTGTGGTCTCTGTGTACGTAGGATGTGTGTGCTCTGTGTGTGCCCTGTGGTCTCTGTGTACGTAGGATGCGTGTGCCCTGTGGTCTCTGTTTGTACTTAGGATGCTTGTGCTCTGTGGTCTCTGTGTACGTAGGATGCGTGTGCTCTGTGGTCTCTGTTACGTAGGATGCGTGTGCTCTGTGGTCTCTGTGTACGTAGGATGCGTGTGTCTGTGGTCTCTGTGTACTTAGGATGCGTGTGCTCTGTGGTCTCTTGTGTACGTAGGATGCGTGTGCTCTGTGGTCTCTGTGTACGTACGTAGGATGCGTGTGCTCTGTGGTCTCTGTGTACGTAGGATGTGTGTGCTCTGTGGTCTCGTGTACTTAGGATGCGTGTGCTCTGTGGTCTCTGTGTACGTAGGATGCGTGTGCTCTGTGGTCTCTGTGTACACAGGATGTGTGTGCTCTGTGTGTTTTTGTGTGGTCTCGTTTTTTGTACTTAGGATGCGTGTGCTCTGTGGTCTCTGTGTACGTAGGATGCGTGTGCTCTGTGGTTGTGTCTGTGTACGTAGGATGCGTGTGCTCTGTGTGTGCCCTGTGTACCTCGTGTACGTGTTGTGGCGGCGCGTGCTCTGTGGTCTCTGTGTACGTAGGATTGCTGTGCTCTGTGGTCTCTGTGTACGTAGGATGTGTGTGTTGTTTGTGAGGTTCTCTGTGGTCTCGTGTACGTAGGATTGCGTGTGCTCTGTGGTCTCTGTGTACGTAGGTTGTGTTGTGCTTGTGTGTGCCCTGTGGTCTCTGTGTACGTAGGATGCGTGTGCTCTGTGGTCTCTGTGTACGTAGGATTTGCGTGTGCTCTGTGGTCTCTGTGTACGTAGGATGTTGTGTGCTCTGTGTGTGCCCTGTGGTCTCTGTGTACGTAGGATGTGTGTGTGCTCTGTGTACGTAGGATGCGTGTGCTCTGTGGTCTCTGTGTACGTAGGATTTGTGCCTGTCTGTGGTCTCTTGTTAGGATGCTTGTGCTCTGTGGTCTCTGTTGTACGTAGGATGCGTGTGCTCTGTGGTCTCTGTGTGTACGTAGGATGCGTGTGCTCTGTGGTCTCTGTGTACGTAGGATGCGTTGTGCTCTGTGGTCTCGTGTACGTAGGATGCGTGTGCTCTGTGTCTCTGTGTACGTAGGATGCGTGTGCTCTGTGTTTCTCTGTGTACGTAGGATGCGTGTGCTCTGTGGTCTCTGTGTACGTAGGATGCGTGTGTGTGGTCTTGTGTACGTGTACGTAGATGTGTGTGCTCTGTGGTCTCGTGTACGCAGGATGTGCGTGCTCTGTGTACGTAGGATGCGTGTGCTTTGTGGTCTCTGTGTACGTAGGATGTGTGTGCTTGTGTGTGTGTGTCTCTGTGTGTGCTCTGTGTGTCTCGTGCGTAGGATGCTGCTGTGCTCTGTGTACGTAGGATGTGTGCTTCTGTGGTCTCTGTGTACGTAGGATGCGTGTTGCTCTGTGGTCTCTGTGTACGTAGGATGTGTGTGCTCTGTGTGTGCCCTGTGGTCTCGTGTACGTTATGATGCGTGTTTGCGTGTGCTCTGTGGTCTCTGTGTACGTAGGATGTGTGTGCTCTGTGGTCTCGTGTACTTAGGATGCGTGTGCTCTGTGTTCTCTGTTCTGTGTACGTTTGTGCGTGTGCTCTGTGGTCTCTGTGTACGCAGGATGTGTGTGCTCTGTGTGTGTGCCCTGTGTTCTGTACTTAGGTGCTGTGCTCTGTGGTCTCTGTGTACGTAGGATGCGTGTGCTCTGTGGTCTCTGTGTACGCAGGATGCGTGTGCTCTGTGGTGTGCCCTGTGTGGTCTCGTGTACGTAGGATGCTTTGTGCTCTGTGGTCTCTGTGTACGTAGGATGTGTGTGCTCTGTGTGTGCTCCTGTGGTCTCTGTGTACGTAGGATGCGTGTGCAGGTGGTCTCTGTGTACGTAGGATGCGTGTTTTGCTCTGTGGTCTCTGTGTACGTAGGATGCGTGTGCTCTCTGTGGTCTCTGTTTTACTTTGGATGCGTGTGCTCTGTGGTCTCTGTGTACGTAGGATGCGTGTGCTCTGTGGTCTCTGTGTACGTAGGATGCGTGTGTGCTCTGTGGGTCTCTGTGTACGTAGGATGTGTGTGCTCTGTGGTTGTCTGTGTACTTAGGATGCGTGTGCTCTGTGGTCTCTGTGTACGTAGGATGCGTGTGTCTGTGGTCTCTGTGTTACCTGGATGTGTTGCTTGTGCTCTGTGGTCTGTGGTCTCGTGTACTTTTAGGATGCGTGTGCTCTGTGGTCTCTGTGTACGTAGGATGTGTGTGCTCTGTGTGTGCCCTGTGGTCTCTGTGTACGTAGGATGCGTGTGCTCTGTGGTCTCTGTGTACGTAGGATGCGTGTGCTCTGTGGTCTCTGTGTACGTAGGATGTGTGTGCTCTGTGTGTGCCCTGTGTCTCTGTGTACGTAGGATCGTGTGCTCTGTGGTCTCTGTGTTTGTTGTAGGATGTGTGCTCTGTGTACGTAGGATCGTGTGCTCTGTGTACTCTGTGTACGTAGGATGCGTTGTGCTCTGTGGTCTCTGTGTACGTAGGATGCGTGTGTTGTGCTCTGTGGTCTCTGTGTACGTAGGATGCGTGTTTTGTGCTCTGTGGTCTCTGTGTACGTAGGATGCGTGTGCTCTGTGGTCTCTGTGTACGTTTTTTGTGTTGCTCTGTGGTCTACTAGGATGGTGTGCTCTGTGGTTCTTTGTACTTAGGATGCGTGTGCTGTGGTGTCTGTGTCTCTGTGTACGTAGGATGCGTGTGCTCTGTGGTCTCTGTGTACGTAGGATGCGTGTGCTTGTGTCTCTGTGTACGTAGGATGCGTGTGCTCTGTGGTCTCTGTGTACTAGGATGCGTGTGCTCTTGTGGTCTCTGCTTTTTATGTGTACGTTGGATGTGTGTGCACTCTCGGTGTCTGTGTGTGCTCTGCCTGTGTGCTCAGAATGTGCATACCCTGTGTGTGTGTGCTCTGTGTGTATGTAGGATGCGTGTGCTCTGTGGTCTCGTGTACGTAGGATGTGTGTGCTCTGTGGGTCTCGTGTACGTAGGATTGTGTGCACTCAGAATCGGTTTGACCTGTGTCCTCTGCCTGTGTGCTCAGAATGTTTTATACCCTGTGTGTGTGCTCTGTGGTCTGTGTGTACGTAGGATGCGGTGCTCTCTGTGGTCTCTGTGTACGTAGGATGCGTGTGCTCTGTGTCTCGTGTTTTGTACGTAGGATGCGTGTGCTCTGTG